GTAGTTTTTATATGAAATTTATTAAATCTAAATATTGTATGATTTTATTTTGTATAAATTTATAATTTCTTTTTTTTTATAGAAATGAGTTTCATGCAAAATGAAAAATGCAAGGGCAAGCACTTCACATGGTCTAAGCCTATGTCTCACATGTTGCTTGAGATATTAGCTGAGGAGGCACTTAAAGGAAGCAAACCTTCTTCGACCTTTAAATTAGAATCTTTTGTTAAGGTGGCTACAGAAACAAAAGTTCAATGTGCAATGCGAGCCTAAGCATGTGGACAATCATCTCAAGATAGTGAAAAAAGAATGGGGAATAATATCCAAACTTAAAAATAAGTGGCTTTGACTGGGATGATTGTTCGAAGATTATTACAGTTTTGAAAGATGTATATGATGAAGAAGTAAAGGTATGATAAATATTATACTCTTTGTAATTTTTATAATTACTTTTGTTTCTAAAATGTTATACAATGAACTAAAAACTTGCATATTCTAAACTTTATAAACAGGCACATCCCAATCATGACAAATTTCTTAATAAAAAACTTGATATGTATGAGGCAATGACAATTGTTGTTGGAAAAGACATGGCAATCGAAAATGATGTCAAATTATATACTAATGTCAACTTAGAAAAGAGCACTGAAGAGCAATCAATTTCAATTGAAAATAAAGGTGAATATGAAGAAAGTTATAAAGGAAAAGAAACATCTTCCTTTAGTACACAAAAGACGCAACATAGGAAAAGAAATTGCATGTATGAAGATGATGGTATTAAAAAGTTGTCTAAATAGATTGGAGATGTAGCATTTACAATTTAAACTCTCAGCAAAAATCAACTTGATGTTAATGCGTTGTATATGAAAGTGATGAAAATTGAAAGCTTTGAAGAGAACACTCTTGGGGATGCATTTGATCATTTGGTCCAAAATAAAATGTTGACAAAAGCATTTATGGCAAAAAATGCTAATTTGAGAAAAATTTGGGTTCAGAATTTTATGAACCAACACTACTATAAGCCTACTTACTAAGATGGTTTGACTATGTTCAAAATTTAAGTTCAAACTATGTTTGTTATTTAATAAGTATGTTTACTTGTTTAACTCGATCTAGCATGTTTATGTTTGTAATTTGAACTAATATGTATATTTATGACATCGAAACTTAATATTTATGCATGATTATGTTTGATGTTAGATATTTATATTTATATCTTGATGTTTATTTGATATATATTAAAGGAATATTAAAGAGATAATTGTCTTTACCCATACAAAAAAAATATTTATCCAAAAAACCCCTAAAAATATTTTTGTATGTATTTATCTTTTAAAAAAATTCTTCATACAAAAAAAAAAACCAAATATATAACTCTTACCATAAACTAATTTGGTTTTCTTCATATGAAAAAAAACTTATTTTAATCTTTTAAAATTGAAAAAAATATATATTAATAGGTTTTACTTAAAAAATATTTCACAAGCTTATTTCTCTACAATATAAGCTTTCTCTATAATATGATATGACATATATAGTTATATTTTATAAAATAAGCTATGTATGAATATAGAATATAATAATAAAAAACATTCATCATCATACTTTTTAGATTTTATTTTTATATTTTATAGTGATTAAATATTTTATATTAAATATTTTATATATATTAGATAAAATTGAAAAAAATTAATTCATTAATAAATTATTTTTCAGTTTATTTTTCATAACATAACCAAACACTGGAAAACGTTTTCCAGGTCATTTTCCATAACACTACCAAACATTAAAAAATATTTTTCCCGAATTCACTTTCCAAAAGGAAATAACTTTCTTGCAAAAAAATGGAGCATTAATCACTCTTTGTTTTTGCAGTATAAGAATATTTCTAAAAAATTAAGTTTTTTTATTTCAAATTGATTTTTTATATTTTTAAGTTATTTTGATGCATTAATATTAAAAATAAATTTTAAAAAATAAAAAATGTATTATTGTGATATATTTTTAGACTAAAATTATTTTAAACATTATCGACCAGGCTACCAAGCTGCGGGGCTGCCGGAAAACCATATACATTACCATTTGCCTATGTAGTTATTTGTTTGACATGTTTCTTCTATTTTTTAAGGCCGTGTGGAAAGAACTTTGACATGCTTCCTCATTTGTGCCTGCATTGTGTGTATTTGTGGATTTTAGTATTTCAAATCCATAATAGTTTTGTTTATTTTTGTATTTTAAAAATATTTTTAAAATAAATTAATTTTTTATTTACTTTAAATTAATATTTTTTAGTATTTTTAGATTATTTTAATATGTTGATGTTAAAAATAATTTTTAAAAAATAAAAAAATATTATTTTAATGTTTTTCTTAATAAAAAATATTTTGAAAAGCAATTACAACTATACTCTCAAGCACAATCAGGTTAACTTGATGGCTTGTGTTTCATCATCAGCTGGGTTAGCATGATGAAAAATATATTATAGTGTTGTTATTGTATTTTAAATCAAAGAAAAAAAAGTATTTAAAAACAAAGTATCGGTAAAATTAAGTAAGGATAGCATAACTCGTGAGTAATATTATGCAAACATGATAATCTAATAGAAGAAAAAACACATAAAAAATATTAATATTAAAAATAATTAAATTTTAAAGGAAAAATATAAAAAAGCAACTTTTAAAAAAAACTTAAGTCAACCAGATAAATGTCTCACCTAAATCATGAGATATGGATAACATGGTTGAAAAGAAAACTAAAAAACATAATGAAGTTCATGTTTTAAAAAGAACTTTAAATGATGTAATTCAAAAAACAATTATATCAACTTAGGTTAGCTTTTCAAACGCATAACTTTAGGTAGTTACTAAACTAGAAATACCACATTTGAAAATTAACTATTTAAAAACTTGGCTCAACCTAATAGGTTGACCCATGTCCTAGATGATTCTTAACTTAGATCGGCCTGAATTTTAAAAGAAATTAGAAGAGAATTGATCCAATGTAATACGATAAAAAACCTGGATTGATCAATGTTTCGATTAACCTAGAAAAAATGTAGTCAAAACTCGTTCACTATTTTTTTTATAAAAAAAAGATATCATTTTGATTTTTTTATAAAATAAAAAGTTCTAGATGACATTGGTTAAACTTAATCCACTATATTCGTGACCTGATAATTGTCTTCAATTAACCCTTGGGTAAGGACTAGAAACAATGGGATAAATCAAGGAGATCAAATTTTAATAAATAAAATATCAAATGATGAAATAAAAAAAATAAATAATAAAAAATAGCAATTAAGAGAATAAGAACCTTATTTGAAAAGAAAAATTGAGAGGACATACTAAAATTTTAAATTGAAAAAAAATCAAATTAGCAAATGAATCAAAAAATAAAGATCAAGAGAATGAGGATCATATTTTTAAAAAATAAAAAATCAAGATTATGGATCTAAGAATGAAATTAAAAACAAATAAAAATTTGATAAAAAGGCTAAGAATCAAAAATAAAAATCAAAATATTAAGAGTCAAGCCTTAAATAAAACACATATTAAACAGGAGGACCAAATAAAAATTAAAAACTAAATTTTCAATGAACTTAATGATAATGAATGAAATTTTTAAAAATAATTGATGCTGACCTAGTCCAACCTTTAAAATTTATGACAGAGATCACAAAGTAAAAGATAAACTAGAAAAAAATAATGATGTAAAATTATTGATAAACTTGGAAAAAAATTAAAAGATATATATCTGAAAAGAAATAAAACCAAATTTGACATAGAAACAAAATAAAACCAAATCATAAGGAATGAAATTAAAAAATAATTTTAATTAAAAAAGGATAAGAACAACTAAAAATAACAATAAAAAAATAAGGATCATATTTTATATAAAAATAAAATGTCAATGGATGAAATCCAAAGATAAATTAATTCAATAAAAAATTCAAGATAAAAAAAAATATCACAATTAAAAGAATAAGTGTCAAATCTAATATAAAAACAAAGAGTAAAGGGATGAAATTAAAAAAAACAATTAACTTAATAAATGATCCAAGACCAAATATATTATAATTAAAAAAATAAAAGTCAAACTTAATATTAATTTAATAAATGATCCAAGACCAAATATATTATAATTAAAAAAATAAAATTAAAAAAAAAAGTAACTCTAAAAATTGTTCATAATAAAACCTAACTTAACCAACAAAAAGGTAAACTTTCTTATTATTATTTTATTTTTTGGTATAACCTATTCATAGATGAACTAGCATTTGGCATGACCTCTAAACCCTTTTCTTATTTTTATTTTTATTTTTTATTTTTTGAAGTTTTTATTTATGAATTTCTTGAAAGAAAAGTAATTATTTATTGTCACGCCAAGTAAAATTAGAAGTTGTTTGGTCTAAGAAACCAGAAAAAAAATAACCAAAAAAATTAATTATGAAAAAAATCAATTAAATCAAATAACCAAAAAAATTAATTAAAAAAAAATCAATTAAATATATTAAAATTAACCAATTCGATTTGATTTTGATTTTATAAACCTGAAACAAAACAAAAATTGATCAGAACCAAACATAAATAGAAAAAATCAGAAAAAAACCAAGCCAAACTAGAAAAAACTGAACTCAATTAGAAAAAATTAAACCAAAATAAAACCAAAACGAGCTAAAATAAAATCAAACCAATTTAAACCAATTTTTATTCTAAAAACTCAAACCAAACATAACCTATTCTAATTTGGTTTCAATTTTTATTAATTTTAATTTAATTTTTTAATAAAAATTAAAATAAAGAAAAAATAATCACCTTTACTCGCTACTAGCTTTGAGGTACCTCCTCAATCTCATATATCACTTCCATGAATCACGTCCGAGTTAATTATTAAGTTGACTGATTATATTATACCACTCTTATAACTATGCTAATTTATACGTGATAAATACAAAATCAATAAAACCTCGTATGGTTAATTTAGTTCGGTGATTAAAGAGGATTTATCTTCGTTAACATGGAGGAAAAGCCTGTCCGTTTTCTCATCCACCAGGATATATATCCTTGACAAATAATCTGATTGAACATGATGGCTACCAAAAAAGAAAGGACAAGATAGAAAGGAAATGAAACGGGATTTCTGGAAGAGTAAGAAATTACACTACTACGGCTACTCTTGTTTTTGCTTCTTTTCACCAGTCCAGTAAGTTTTGACAGCAACAAGAATTTTCTCTGGATTAAAAGGTCCACTTTCATGGTCCATAATTTGGCTCTTCCACCTCATGCCATTTGTTATAGTCTGAATCCTCACAAGAACCTCTACTGTATCCCTGAATATCACTGTCCCTTCTGGCCTCAGAATTCTATCCATCTCCAGCAGAATGTGGGTTATATCACACCTTGAATACGAAAAAATGAAGACATATTCAATCATGAGATTGTGACTTACAAGATCATGGCATCAAAAATAGCTTTTTTCAGAATTCGAAGTGTTACCTGTCCTGATATATACTGAACACCCCACCAGCATGGATGAGATCATATGTTCTTGGATATGTTGAGAATGCCTCACACCAATCTTGATATGTTCCAATGAAACCCCGTTCATAGATCACACCAAGTGTGTCTGGATTTGAATTGGCAGGAACCACATTCATAACCCACACTGGATATTTTGCCAAGGCTGCAGCAAATCCTCCAAGCTGTGCATTCATGTCCATTATGTTCCTGTATCTGCCTTTGGTGAGAGGACTAATGATATGCTTATATTTTGTCACTCTATCCTTCCACAGATTATTGTCCTCCTTGAATTTCTCAGCAGTGATTCCTGGTATTGAACCACTGCGAATTCTTGGAGGGATTGAGAATGCACGTGCTGGCCATTTCTCAACAGCACCACCAGCTACTTCATCCGAGCTGCTTACTTCTGGTAATGGAGTTATGCAAACTTCCATTTCTTTGTACCTTTTTTGGTAGAGGAGTCAAATCAAAGGTGTTAGCATAGCAAATTAATATACAGAATACTATGAATTAAGATGTATATATTTAAAGAATACCAGCCAGCATCTGGATTGTCTGATTTGCATATATGTGGTGTTTTATAGGTCTTCCTGCTTGCAATACAATCAATGTGGTTCAGGGGCTTTTGCCAGATTGAAAGATCATCCTTTTCAACCACTTTCTTCCAGCACAGGCGCTTGGCTACATCCTCAATAGCATCCTGCTCTTGCTTCAAGTCTTCTTGGGTTCTTTCCCAACCTCTCCAGTGTTTCTTCCAGCGAATAGGAGGACCAGATAGAATCCAGTAGCCACCAGGCCTTAAAACTCTATCCACTTCAATTAGATACATACCATCTGTGAAATGAAAGAATACAACACAATTGGATCAATAGAAGTTTGGTTGAACCACATTGATAAATGAAAATTGTGGTCATGATTGAGCTCCATTTTTATCATACTATCTTGGGGGGCAGAAATCCATGCTTTACGTGTTATTCAGCACAACTGCAAGGTAAAATCAAGGGCATACCATATTTATGCCACGGTATCAAGCAACGGGAACAATGAGCCATGTCAAAAGCCCTTGCTGGGTAAGGAAGCCTTTGTGAAGCCATGATACCAATCATACCAGGAACTCCCCTCTCCAATGCAAACCAGACCTGTGCTTCATGTGTATCCCTTGGTGCAAAAGACATTGATATAATGTCCCTCTTCAACAGGTATGCACCCCAGCTCGCAACCTTAGCATCCACAAAAAAGGACAAGAACAATACACATTAAGACCTAGAATGCTGCTAATTCTCATATAACAAATGTACCTTAAGATATTTGGATAGGATTTGAAAACAGAAGTTGAATAGAAAACTAGATATTTTGGCAATTAACTTACACCGCAGCCTGTGTCAATTGCAGTTCTGATGCTTCCATCAGTAAGAGGAATGAGCTCACTAATGTCATCAATATAAGCATCAGCTCCACGGGGGAACATGGTGCCTCCACCGGGGAATCTAAATCGGTCACCCTCAACTTGAATCCAATTCTGCACAGCCTTTTCGATACTAAGTTCTTTGTGGGGAATATTATCATACCAGGCATAATCGCGGCTTTGAGGCCATTTAAAAGGGGTCTTGTATTTAGGCGGAGCAGGTATCAAGCAAAGAAGTAATTCATCCTTTGTTGGGCAATGCCTCTCTCTATATTTCAACATGTTCCTATCAAATTTCCTTCCCCTTTGAGTATCCTGGCAAGGAGTGTACTCACTAAAGGACATGGCGCATGGTGGAAACTCATTAACTGAAGTAGTATTGTTAATCTGACTCCGATGATGGCTATCAAAATCCAAGGCAACTGATGATGAAGATGTTGATGGATTAGAACTAACCGCAGCACGATTTGAAACATCACAGTCTGCTTTAGTGATGGACTGAGTCAGATTTGTGAGTGGGGCGGAATGCTGCCAAGCTCCCAAAACATAAAACAAAACGCAAAGGCCACTGACCCCAACAATCCAAGTTAGGCGCCTTCTCTTCGCTTCTAGCTGATGGTGGTGCTTTGGTGATCCATTAGCCATTTTTATCTATAATCAACAAACAACCTGCAAATATCTCAGACACAAAAGAAATGGGCAGAAATAGATTTAGAGTGATGGGATTGTTGAAAAGGCATAAACATCATTTCATAAAGCTGTCAGCCTCATCACAATATCAACATTAGACCCCGAAAAGCTCTACTTCCACACATGGACTCATCATTTCAATATTTATTTTGTGAAAAGTAAAAGACAGGCTACCAATCTGACAGAAAATGGTGTCCATAATGGAACCAGGTAGCAACCTTTTCATGAACTTATCGTAATCTGCAGAACCACTGACGAACTTGGAAAATTCTTCAAGACATGATAAAAAAATTATGGGCAATTTTCCTGATTCACAAATTAGAGGAAACAGGGCAGAGACAGAGCATGGGGTAACGACTATAAATTCCATTTTAAAGAATTAGCTTGCAGAGGGAAAATTAAGTGTAAAAACAAAAATTAAACAATAAACACGTTTGAAAAGGCAAAAAAAATTTCAAAAATCCCACGTGAAAAAGACACAGAAAAATCATTAAAATCCCAAAATCAAACACCAACATATAACAAGATTTCTTCCAAGATGATGGTGAAAGAAAGTCACAAATACAAAGCTTACTTGTGTGCACTATTTTTCGTCTGGTGGTTAGATAAGCAAAGCTTACCTCTTTCAAACAACATAAATTAGAATGCAAGAATCAATATTTTCCAACAAGAAACCAGATTTTTACAGCCTTTCTTCTTTGCTCTTTGTTTATTTAACCAACAAAGCACAAACCCCCAAAGAAATCTTCAACAGATCCACAAGAAGCCTTCAAGAAACATGCTTATACGTTTTTCTTAACTGTTAATACAAAAGGTTTGTTATTTCCTTAAAAAAAAAGAACTGACAAGGAGAAGAAAGTACAGTACCTTAAGAAGGTGATTCTCTCTCAGCTGAACACACCCTTCCCTCTAAAAGTAAAACAAGAATCAACAAGAAGCTAAGAACTCAACATTGGTACTCTTTATTTTTTGTGTTGCTATCTCTGCAATGAAGTTGCTAGTAATAGCAAGAAAGAAAACTAAAGAAACTAGCTAGCTAACTAGCTAAAAAAGGTCAAGAAAGGAACATGGAGACAAAGGGACAAAGAAAGGGAGTAGTTGAGGTTATAAAAATGGGTACCATGTAAAGGAAACACAGAAAGTCTCCACCATTACAGGAACAAGAAGGTGGGATGGAGGACTCATGACAGAGAGTGTGTGGTTCACTTGGATTTTGTCTTTGTTAATTAATCCAAAAATGGAGGAAGGTGGTGACTGGTGAGTCTAGAGAGTTTAAGATTTAGTTAAGAAGAAGAGACAAGGTGGTGGCAGGTTCTGAGCATTCACAGGAGACTGACCAGCCTCTTTTCACTCTCCTCCGTCTAGTTCTTCTCTTTCACTCACTCTTGTTCTATTTTTGCTCTTCTACTTTCATTTTTTTTTAATAAATTCTTTAACTTTTTTCCCTTCTTTTTAGGTTCCCCATCCAATCCACTTTTATTAAACCAGGCCCCGCCCGCCCGGGCTTACCAACTCAAACCTCCTATTAGTTTAACATTGTGGTAAACTTTAAAGTATTTTTTATTTATAAATATATTAAAAAAAAGTCAAAAATTTTATCAATATATCAATATATCTAAATGATTTAAAAAATAAAAAAATATTTTTTTCAAAGCATTTTAACGCTGTAAAGACAAACCATGAAACTACATATGTCCGAAAGCCAAGTTGGCCTATGTGTTGAATTGATTCTTTCCCTCCTGCTTTCTCTTTCCCCATATTCTTTCCTTTTGTTTAAATTTTCAAAGCATAGCTTATGGTCAAAAAGGTCATGTCATTTTTTGTCTAGATAAATCTAGAATTGAGTCCCTTTTCTCTTTTATACAAAGATTAGCAGAAGAGTAGCCATGAATTTAGAGCAATAAACTCAAATTGAACGTCTATGCTAAACATAAAATCTACATTTAGAGAAAATACATCACGTTACAATGATTTTGTTGTTAAATTTTCACCGAAATTATATCCTTATGATTGTAAATATAATATTTTCATATATTTTCACAACATCTTATTTTATTAACGCTAATAAATTTGGTTTTCTAACTGGATTTGATATTATAATAATTTTTATCATTGTAATTTTAAAAAATAATTAAAAAATATATATAAATTATAACAAGTTAGGTTATGTTCCATTTAATTTATATATATAATATTTATTAAAAAGCTATCTTGAAAACGATAAGATTTAAATTTATAATTATTTAATTATTATATCTCTACTATCATATCAAAAATAATTTAAATTATCATTTATCATCACTAAATTTTGAACTTGCTAAATATATTTCACATGATCTCGAACCATACGAGATTTAATTATACGGTTGGTATCTCTTTGCATTTCATGAATACACTGTTCTGCTATTTTTTTTCAAAAAAAAAAAACATCAGATCTTGGCCAGGAATGTTTAAGCAGCAAGGAGTCCAGACTAGTCAAGAACTGTACATGGATGGCCTCCAGAGCAGCAAGGGGAGGTGTTGCCTGTAAAGAACAATCAATTTCAGAAGTGCTTGTCCAGGTTAAAGCCACAACAGTGAGTGCAGTTGTTATCCATGCAAAATGATTTCGTGATTGCATTTTATGGCGGAAATATATATTAATAATTTTTTTTATTTTTTAAAAATTATTTTGAATATTAATACATCAAAACAATCCAAAATACACAAATTATATTAAATTTTAATAAAAATAAAAAATAAAAAAAATTATTAAACTGCGTTCCCAGCTCCTAAAAAATTCCCTTTATTTTAAGATAAAATAATATTACGTAAAGAAATTAATTAATTAGTTTTAAAAATTAGTCGATTTGTTCTTGGAGAACTTGAAGGAGCTTAACTTAATTTATGATCTACTCTTAAGGTTTGGTGTCTTGTATATCAAATTTGGAAGCATATTCTTAAGTGTTCCTTCTTTTTTTGTTAAGTATATTCTTAATTTTATATTCCTTCTTTTCCTTCTATTTTATGAGGAGAGCATATTCTTGATTGTTAAAAAAGAAAAGCACAAAAAATGGTACTTCATATCATATATCATATAGCTATTAAACCTATAGGTTAAGTCAAATAAAATCAAGTCAGAAACATTGGCTAGATTTCAAGTTGAATAGAAAAAATTGGCATTATAAAATCTAGTTGATTTTTCAATTTTTTTACTAATTATTTGATCTGGCTAAACTCGGTTATGTTTATATTAATTTTTTTATTAAATAAAATAATATTATTTTAATAAAAATAATTGATTTGAATTGACTCAATGGTCGACAAGTTAATTCAATGACCAAGTGATTTAGACATTTTTTCGGATTAGTTACTAATGAGGTCGGATAGGACATCTAAATCTAATAATTAAAGGGATAAGATAGCATAAAAGAATAAAAGTAAAATAAGAGAGATTAAGGATGCCAAACAAAATAAAGAAGAAAGAGAGTTTGTGGTTGATACTTTTGATATAAGAAGTTTTTTTAAATGTTTTTTATTTAAAAATATATAAAAATATTTTTTTATTTTTACTGCATCATAATTATAAAAAAATAAATACACTAAAAAAAATTTATTTACAATTATAAAAAAATAAATACACTAAAAAAACATTTTTTATTTAAAAAAAAACATTGGCAAGTGGAGATAAAAAAGTAAAGGAGGAACATAGATTTAGAACAAGTGATTGAAGCTGTTGGCTTTGTGGACATTTTTCTGTCCTTTTAAGCCCTCAATAATTGACCGTAAAGTAGTGGTCGCTCAGACACAGATACACCCTTTTTATTCTCTCTGTTTTAGAGCAAGGGAGAGCCCAACTAGTGAACTAGGTATCCTATGACTCGCCTTTGTCATCTTCTTCGCTACAGGTGCTCGGATTTCATAAGACAACGTCAATTTAGTACACAACATGTTACTCCTCCTTTTATCGAGTCCCAAGCTCTTGGATTTTACCAGTTTTACTCAAGATTCAATTAGCATCAGACGATTGGGTTTTCTTATCAGCTAAAATGTCTCCTCGTAATCGATTCCTTCCCGTTGAGTGTGTTTTTTAGCAACTAATCGAGCCTTGTATTTCTCGATACGACCACCACATGATGTTAATTTTATGGATAATGAGGTGATACAAGACAAGGATGAAATTGAGGTTTCTTCATCTTCAATCGTTAATGGGGGCCAGAGGCATGCGTAATACTTGTGCTAGGTCATGAACACATTATATTTATATATCCATTTGGTGATCACCTGTAGATGATAGCAGCATTTATCTTGCCGGGATATACGTTTTTTTTGGCTTGATAGTCGATGACTGTGTTGTGAATACTACAGCTTGCATGTTGTTAAGAGGAAAAGGTCGTTGGATTTTTTTCTTCGAAGAGGAACAATAGCGACCCTTCACGGCAAGCAATTTCTTTGACAAGACTGTAAGAAAGATAGCATTGTTAAAAATCCCAAAAGATAAGTACTTGATAAGATCACCTCTTTCATTCTTCTTTTTTAACTTTATAAATTTAGTTCGTAAATCAATCAAATTTTATTAAATTAATAAAAAAAAATTCGATTCAACTTGAAACTCGAGGTGGGTTAAGCCAGGTTTAATAATTACGATAAGGGAAATATGCAGGGAAGAGGGAGAGGAAAAGAATACATAGCCATGGCTTTCTATAATTGTTTTGATTTGTAAGGAGATGAGGGAAGTAGAGGGATGAAACAAGAGGAAGCTCTATGAGCGCAAGCTTTCAGTGCCCAATCTATCTGATAAGGAAGAAAACAGAGTGTGAATTGGAAAAGGAAAGGGATGGATCATGGAGATTTTCCATCCTTCTTGGATAAAAATGTACTCGATCAAGCAAAACGACATGGATTCTCTACCATCCATTCTTCCCATCTATCTCTTCCACACAGTGCCCGAAGATGGCCATTTCTTACCGAATCCACCAGAGGGAAATTCTAACCGAAGTTAATGATGGGCCCACGAGCAACCCAAATTCAAAAACTAGAGAGCCAAGTTTTTCAATGCTCTTTCCAACATCGATGAATTATTACCGGGTACTGATTGCCTCTGGCGCAGCATTCAGTGAAATTGTCCTTGGCTTTTCTATGCTGGGACCTAATCGAAGCCAAGATGCAAAAACAACCATAGACAGAGCTCGTGTGAACCTGTCGCTTTTGCCTTTTAGCCTTCCTAGAAGCAGCAGAACGCTACTCAAAAACAACCATAGACAGAGCTCGTGTGAAGGTACCTGTCGCTTTTGCCTTTTAGCATTCCTAGAAGCAGCAGAACGCTACTCGCCATGGTCCAGCCCCGACGACCCCACTTTGAAGTGAGTTACTGGTGCTTGCATATTTATAAGACCCGCCTGACTCAAAACCTGTTCATTGGTAGATTGATCCAAACCCAATGTTGTTTCAAGATTATTTTTTTAAGGGGAAAAAAGGTTAAAACAACTTTATTTTAAAAGAATATAAAGTCAAACTAGGTTTTATTTAAAGCATAGACAGATCAACCCGAATTAATTTCCAACCTGATTTAACATAATACTCTGCCGAAATCATGAGTCAAGAGGTCAGGTCACTAGGTTGCCCGTTTACAGTGCGGGTTTTATAACTATGGTTGCTTAGGCATCCCCCCTCAGCATACCCATTAAGAATTGCTCGCATCAAGTATATTGCAAAACTGTCAAAAAAAATAATAAAAATAAAGAGAGAGACATTGTAACCTGACAAAAGCATTTCTAATTTACAACCCATCACACGCTGCATTGCATAGAGTACAAGGAAACTCCATGTAGGGACCAGAAATAGCTGGACCATTTATGCATTTCACTATCAATAACCAGGCAATCTCATCGTACAGGCATCCTCCACCTTACTTGCTTCACAATCACGATCTCCTCGATAGTCACGATAGTATTCCAAGCACTAGCTTCTTTATAACGCATACAAACAGCATTAACAGTCACGGAGCTGGAATCCACTGCAAAATTGTTTTATCCGACAGCCTGAAATATAACCAGCCAAGAACAAGTAAACGATGTGTTACAACTGTATGCTGTTGCTCAACTTCTCGAATTTCTGCGCAACCGATTGGTGATTCCTGCTCTTGTACACTTCGATTAGGGATTGTATTGCCTTGGATATCATATGTTTCTTTTGGTCCCCAATGGAGCTTCCAGCCTCAGACTGTAAGCTTGTCTCCCCTAATGAGGAGCATAGACCCTTAAACCAGTCCTCCAAAAATGGGGCTTTCTGTGTGAAACAAATGAGGATGAATGTCAATCTCTGAAGAGTTCCACAAATAAAATGAAAAAATGCCATGAATATGATACATGAAAGGTCCTCACATTTGTTCATCAGATGCATAAGCGATAACTTGGGAAGAAAATATGGAAAGGCAAGGGAAACAACACAGATGCACTCGTATATGCAA